GAGAGAGAGAGAGAGAGAGAGAGAGAGAGAGAGAGTTGATGATGATGATGATGATATGATATCACCTGATATCACAAAAGTAAAAGCCTGCTGATACTGATACACCGTAGGCTAAACGTTTACAGTCGATTGACAAATTAGGCCTGTTGAAAGCGTGGAGATCCTGATAGGTTGGGTGGCTATATTGTTCAAACATGTTGAAATTTGGGGTTTGGTGTGTTGGGTAGGCGTAGGTCTGGCCTCACTGTTATCAGTATTTTAAAATTGACAATTGGCACCCATGAGTGAAAAGAAGTTATTGGTGGTAGGCCTATTGACTATTGAGCTATTGGATGAGGTCGAATTGAGAAAGGACTTCCGTAACGAGCGACCACCCCAACAAACACAATAAAGTCGTCGAGAGACCTAGAATCTATCCCTGTCCCTACCCCTCTATTCTACCCTGTCTCACAATGGTCGGTCGTTACGGAAGTCCGCCCCTATAATCGATTTCTAGATCTAGAAGAATCAAGTAGGCTAATAATAATGCATAATTATGACCACGGACCCTTTGCGTCTGCCGTCGTAGAGACATGTCGAGATTGGAACTTGAACGGAAAGCTGTGTCCCTCCGAAAAAATTGTTTGACTTCATCCGTCTCGTCAACCTGTATCTTGCTTCTGGGCCTCCCAGGCTTCATCTTGCGGTTTTCTTTTTCTCAACTATTCTTTTAAATACGATAAATTATAATATTTGTAGATGTCTTTAGATTCTAAGTACATTTATCCGCCATTGTTCATAGTGACGAACAGGCCTGTGGGAAAATATGACGTTCTATAGCCGCTAAAAACATTCCTTCTCAAATCATCCTTGCATAATCACAAAACAATTCTATGCTTACGTCATCAAGGCGCTCTGTTGACTGGACCGAAATTATGTGTTTCCTTTTTGATGAAAACCTTGCATAGAAAGGAACACTAGAGACTAGTTCTCTTGCGTAGAGAGGAATGATAAGAGCTCTGATCTTCTGTGAAAAAAGAACATTTCGGATAGCTACAGTGTCAACATGGCGACGCCGTTGAAAGGTAATTTGTTTCAGACAAGGTCGTCTTCATTTTATTCGTTGACACCAAAACACAAATGCCCCTTTTTAGCACTACACTGCTGAACTCACTCTATTCCACTGTCCATTCTGTCCTGAACCGAGTACTGACGATGACTGTCTCAAGTCTCACTGTCTGTCCTGACAAAGATTTGACTTTCGTCTTCTTCTTCATGATTCTTACTTTTGATTTGGAGTTCCGTCAAGAAAGCTCTTTCCCTTTCAATTTTGACAATCGTTATAATCAAGTCTTTGACTTAGATCTAAGTCTAGATCTAGATTCTAGTCCTCAGTATCAGTAGGCTATACTATATTATGCCATGGCCTCTTTGAACATTAGCAGACCACCACTGGATTTCTAGAGGCCACCTGCCTCTATTCTCACCCGGGATGAGAATAGTATAGTGCAGGCGAGTCTTTTGGCTATTCTCACCCGGTGCGCGTTCACCGTTATAGCCTAGATCTAGGCCAACAAATTTTGCGTTCACCCTAAACCACAGAATTCTACACTGTGATAACAGAAACATTGTAGAATTCTGTGCTGTGAACAAACGTTCCATTACAACTGTGCCTACTAAAAGCGTACAATTTTGTCTGTGGGCAGTGGAGAGAGAGAAAGAGAGAGAGAGAGGAGCAGCGCGAGAACTTCCGGTCAAAACAAAATGGCGACCCGCGTAGTTCGGCTCAATTCGAAAAGTTAAATAGCTGTAGCATCTTTGTAGACAACCAAATTAATTTACTTTTGTGTTTTAACATCATTTTTTAACTTTGTTTTGGTCAATTTGATCGTCCACACCGATAGACAGTATTCAGAAAGAGACAGAGAGAGAGAGAGGGGAGGAGTAGATCTTGCGAGAACTTCCGGGCAAAACAAAATGGCGACCCGCGTGGTTCGGCTCGATTTGAAAAGTGAAATAGCCATAGCATCTTTGAAGACGATCAAATTAGCTTACTTTTGTGCTATAACGTAATTTTTTCTTGGCTTTTATCAATTTGATCATCCACACAGATAGACAGTATTCCAAAATGAGGAAAAGCAGGTCTTGTTTCGCACCGGGTGAGAATAGCCTACGCTGGCATTTCTCACCCGGGGTGAGAGGTAGATCGTTTTTCTATTCTCACCCCGGATGAGAATAGCCACTTCCATTTCTAGAGATGCAAGAGAGTGGCTATTCTCCGGCGTCGCGCTGGTCAATAGATCGGAAGCTTTCTCCAGAGTCACCCCGCCGGTCTATTACTAATAATTTGTCGGCGCAGATTTGCAAATACTATACCTCCCTCATCTGTTTGTCTTGGGAAAAAATTCCCATAAACTTCACCACTTCGTGCCACTTCTATTGATACAGACGAAGGTTTTCAGACATAAACTTCCTCAATTCCTCCAATTTAGAATTATGTTGGGTGCTAGAAGAAACGTGTTCACCACTAGTGACTCGAGTTCATAAACAAAGAGTGAGCATAAAGAAGAAGTTACATTTTCACTGTTTACAAATACGCAGAGATACGACAAGAAAGCCCTGAAGTCGCGAAATATCAGTTAAATTTATCGGAAATTATAAGAACAAGAGATTTATAAGTTAAAAAGCAGCAAGCTTTACTATATGACTACACAGGATTTTTGACACAAAATCAATTTTGTTCGTTTAATTTAGTTTAAAGAAACAGAATAATTATTTGGAAATAGGCAAATTGACGACCCAAATTTAATAAATGAAGAAAGTTACTAGACAATTATCATAGATAAAATATAATGAAAGATAGGCTTACTAGGCCTAGAGATCTAGTTATTGTATTTCAAAATCTGCACCGACAAATACACTGTAATTCATAAGTAATAGACAGGCGGCTTCTAGATATCTACTTCGGTAGAAAGGGGGGGGGGCTGCTAAAGTCACAAAAATAATCTAACATCTAGATCTAGAATCTAGATAGGCCTAGTTTGGCGACAGTTTTAAGTACCAAAAAAAAGTATTCCCGGCAGGTCGTCTGCTTGCTAGTCTTCAATTTTACCTGTATTAGGCCTAAATATTAGGCCTACTTGATACTTTTTACAGACTATTATTATTATTATATTGTCTAGTCTGTCTTGTCTTGGTTTGCGCTCCCTTGTAAAAATGGATCATACGATTGGTCCTTTATTTTGCACCTCTGCCTTTGCCTACACCTGCTACCTGCTACACCAGGGCTCCATTTATCAATGGTGGAATGTTATTGTTAAAAAATCGGGAAAAAAATTTGGTGTGGCTAATTAGTTGGCTACTCTATTTACATTACTGTAAGATTATTTATAATTCCCTTCTGCATCTAGCCATGGGAAAAACATGTTTTGTGTAGAATCTACGGCGGTCTTTGGAAATATTGCCTTCCCGTTTCATTTTCAGATATTTTATAACTGATAATTTGCCAGGTAAATGGGAAGATTTTGTGTTTAAAAAAAATTTTTTTTTCCCGGGGTTATGGCTTGTGCGTATTAACTCATCACGTCAGACACGCTGGGTCCACCAGAGTTCTATCTGGCCAAAATAAATGTTTAAATACAAAAAAGGTAGAAAAATCTTACTGTGGCTAATGTGGCAGGGTTCACTTTGCCTACATGGCCACCTTTGTCCTTAGCTCAATCACTTCTGTTTCTTTTGTAATCAAACGGGAAGGCAATTTCCAAAGAGCCCCGAATCTACAACCTCTCAAATGGGGCAAAAGTAAACTTTTGAGACAAGTAAGAGGTGGTGTCTGAGGTGGTGTCTGAGGTAAAGAGAGTCAGTGTTTAGGTAGGTTAGGATCACAGTTTAAGACCAGGTTGCAGTAGGAAAAGGTAAAGAGGAGTACAGATCTGCCCTCCTCTCAACTTTTCTTTCCTTTGATTCGTTAGTTAAGTTGAGTGATAAGTATTGTACAGCTCTAGAACCTTCCAGGGGTAGGTAGGGTAGGTGCTATAAATTTCCATTGTTGTTATTGTTATTATTATTATTATTAATTTTCTTTTGAAATCTACGGTAATAACAGTAGCCGTTTAAATTGGTTTCCAGGAGCAGGCTTTATGAGGAGACTCTGGAGTGATAAACCAGAGATCGCCGGGTCATTATGCCTTTTATTCGCAGGTAAGTTTGATATTGTACTCTCACCTGATTACACGTATGTTTCAAAAGTTTCTGCTATTGTTTTCTAAAAGTACAAACTCACAGACTGCTGACTTAGATTGTGACTTGTCCTCCAAATGTTCTTTGTATTTCTTAACTCTTGCTTTTTTCCTCATTGATTTTGAATAATTTTCTAAGTTCTAAATCTAAGTGTAGAATGAATGTTAAAGTATCTGAGTCAGACCTATGTTTTATGACTTTAATGATGTATAGATCACTCCTTTAGCTCATTTGGTATCATTTTGGACCACAGAGCACATGACTGTGGTTCGAGTCCTTGACTAGGTGTTCTTGAACTTGAGTCGTTTTACGTTGTCTTCTAAACACATTTGGTTTTGTTTCATTCTAAGATGACATGAACGTTACATTTGTCATTCCTACCTCTTGTCATGATGATGTTGATAGGATGTCAAGCCCATTCACTTTCCTAGAAGATAGCTCTATATTAAATTTAAAAAAACAACAGAGTGCTTTTAATACCAGGTCATGGCTTGTTTGAACATAACGTTTAATAAAATCTTTTTTGTCACTATATTTTCTATTCAATTTATTTTTGGAATGTAATACAATAAAACATCTGTGGAGGTATACATTTTGTAGCTCACTCTGAGCATTAACTAATGAATGTGTCTCCATCAGGCACAATGGGGCTGGTGGTCTACGGCCTTCGATACGACAGAGACACCTTCCACCAGCACAGAGCAGAATACACGGGTGAGAGAAAAAATATATATGTCAGTGTGAACTGGGATTCTTCTTCTTCTTTTTCTTCTTCTTCTTCTTCTTCTTCTTCTTCTTCTTCTTCTTCTTCTTCTTCTTCTTCTTCTTCTTCTTCTTCTTCTTCTTCTTCTTCTTCTTCTTCTTCTTCTCCTTCTCCTCCTCCTCCTCCTTCTCCTCCTCCTCCTCTGCTGCTTCTACTGCTGGTTTTTCAAACTGCAGTACTTGTGATTTTTACATATTTGATTGTGTTTTCTTTACCTTGTACTTGTAGGGCCTCTTGCCTTTCAGGCTGTCACATTCCCAATGTTGGACAGACGGCTGCTCTCTGTGTTGTTATACTGACCAAAGTACTTTCAGTTTTGGTAGGAATTACTTTTGAATTTTTGCCTGGATAGCGGTCAAAGCCTACTTTGATCAATTTTAGGATCATCAAGGGATCTTTAACGTGCACGCGGCTTGCACGTGGTATCTCCAAGATTGTTGTCCTTTTTGCGAAAGCCTTTTCTCTACTACAGTACTACAGTAGACTGCTAGAATTACCACATAATTCATGAGCGGTGGGAAAAGTCTTATGTCCCTTGACACTGTGCTCCCAGGGGCCAGGTTGAGCTTTGGATGAGTTGATCTTTTTTAACTCCGTTAACGCCATCAACCAATCGGCAGTTGAATGTATAGTACTCCAATTGGTCGCTTTAAAGGACAAGCGGGCTAACCGAGATTTCAGGGGTTTCCAGAAATCTTGACCTACTCCAAAAGTGGGCATTGCCCTACCTATGAGAGAAGTTTGGTTTCGTTGGTGTGTATTATTGTTTGGATAGAGAAAACTCTCCTTGTCTTAAAAAAAAAATTGAACAAGTGGCAAAAACTTTACCATCGATTTTCTCAAAACAGCATTTTTCAGGATAGCCCCCTTGTGCTCAAAAGTAAAAGCGACCAATTGGTTTTGGGAAAACTTTCTAAATTGTTTTTTTCTTTTTTCTTTCTTTTCAGTGATCCGCAAAGAAGACGCCAGGCCTGAAGTTGCACAGAAAGGGGTGTATAACTGACCGATGTCGTCTTGTTGACTTTGGAGTGTGTGTTGTGTGGCATCTAAGTAGAGAGTTTGAGAGTAGTGCTTAACACAAGTTGGATTGGATTATGAATAAGTTCTGTCAACACGGAAGAAAATAGACAAGAAGTGCTATGTTAAGTGCTCAGAGTCTGTTCCGAAGACTTGTTTTGAGCAAAGAGTAGAATGGGAGTGAAAGATGATTTCGTTGTCTTCGTGGTACCTTAGAGTTAGAGGAGTGTGGTCAAATGGGACACACAGACTTCTGTGTTTGTCTCGTAGTTTGTCATCTACCATGAATTGTACGCTAGTTTCAGTTTTCTGTGTTTGTTGTCTGTGAAGAAAACAGTCACATTGGCAGTCATGAAGTAAGAAAAACAGTTTGGACTTCTGACTGTTGTGTTTTGTGTTTGTTTCAGTGTCGAGGTTTGGTGTACATAAAGTGTGTCGTTGATGAATAAAGTGTGTCAACATTATATATTACAAATGTTTTTGTTTTTCTTATTTACTCTCTTGTGCCTTTGTTTTGTCATTATATGCTGCTGCAGTGATGACGAGGAGGTAGTTGCCTTTTTCGACTGACTGAGATGATTTTTTGTAAATTCTTGGAGCTCTCTGATGCTGCTAGCTATTAACAGATTCAGCCTGCAGTGCACTGTCTCCTGTGTCTTGACGTAAAATTCACATGAAATTATGTTTTTATGTGGACATAAAAGGTGTTGAGCCAAAAAACAAAAATTGGATAAAAATTGCCAAACTGGAGGAAAAATGCCGGTTTCTTCTGTTTCATTATTTTGACGACTCCTTGATTTGACCACGATGCCTCACATATAAGTTATTGGAGGTCCTGCCTTTTACTTTTTTAAGCCTCACTAGGTTGAAAGGACCTAAGGGTGTTGAAACCTTACCATTTACTTTACCACACTATACAGATGGCGCTCATATGATGACCTTATGCAGTTGCGAGCGACGTAAAACTCTACTATAAAACCCCCCCACAAAAGAAAAAATATACAGAAGACTCTTAAACTTAAAGAGAGAATAGGAGTAGTCAATCTGGATGACAGTGAAAGTGAAAGGCTGTGTTTGGGAAACTGCTCTCTGTCCTTTTTCTGAAGAGTGGAAACCTTGGGAGCCAACAAATCTACAGAAAATAGATTTTATAGAAATAGCAATCAGAGAAAATGGAAGTGGATTGGACACACCTTGAGAAAACTACACGTAGAAACAAGTGTTACCCACCAAGCTTGAAGATGGAATCTACAAAAAAACAGAAAAAAGGAAGGTCTAAAAGGCTAAAAGCACTTGAAGGCCTGACCTAGATTCTGACCATAGGGAGATGGGATTCAGCTGGACAGATGTTGAGACTTATAGCCCAGGACAGAAGTACACACAGAGAGCCCTTGTTGGTGGTCTATACTCCAGGACGGGGAGAGGAAGACTACTGGTGACGATGATAAAAGAGGGTGCACCGTTAGGACAGTTACTACTAAGCCAACAGTGCAGCCACTCTATAACGACCTTCGATATAACGACATCCTCTGTATAGCTACATGGTGCCCAGGTCCCGATCTTTTCCTGATATTTTATCATTAGTAACTTTTGGTTGCCTCTCTACATGTATTATAACTACTGTTTCGATCTATGGCAACATTATTTTCTGGTCCCGAGGATGTCGTTATAGAGAGACTGCACTGTATCGTGCTGGGCTATAGTGCGAATCACCCTGGTTCAAACCTCCAATGGTGTGTTCCTAGAGTTTAGTTGTTTGATGAGGTTTTTAAAGCTCTCCTCCTTGAGACCTTAGTCTCATCAGAGATGTAGCGGTACAGTGTGTTAAGTGTTAACTTCAGAGCTCATGTCTCCTAAATGACCCGATAGTGTGGAAATGAGATTCAAACCTATACATACATGTATGCGCATTGTTTTAGTAAGAGTTTGACGGCACTTGCAATACAATAAGGTCATAGAAGTGCTGAAGATTAGAGGTGTTTCGAGAAAGTACAGACGCAAAAAAGAAGGAGAAGTAAGGACGATAGACTTGTAAGGAAGAAGGAGCAAACCACACTAAGCACGCATAATTAGCTAGGCCTGTACATGTACAAGTATTTTCAAAGGAGTGCATCCTACACACGTATTGTGGATTTTCTTATGAGGTTGGGCATTTATTGGCACAGACCTGTCTCAACTCTTCAGTAAGGCCAAAACTATGTGGTCTTGGTTTTATTTTCTACTATTTACACAGAGCAAGAACCCACGAGCAAACGTTTTTCTTGAGGGTCTGACAGAGAGTGGATCAACTGAACCCTATAAAATACGTAATTAATTACAATTACATGTATGGGGAGGACTTCCGTAACGAGCGCGACCACTAAGAGACAGAGCAGAATTGAGGGCTTGGGGTAGGGGTAGGGGTAGGTCTAGGCCTCTTCTTTATTGTGTTTGATGGGGTGGTCGCTCGTTACGGAAGTCCTTCTTATGTGTGTATGCAGACCATAGAGAGTAGTGTAAATCTATGATGCAGACCAAACTGATTAAAAATTGTTTGGAAGCTGGGTTTGATCGTTGTCCAGACAGATCCCTTTCAACAGATAGGCATACATCAGACGTGAAAGAATTCTTTTTTAAAATTAATTTTAAAGTTTTATTTCTAAAAGAAGTGGTGAACAAAGGAAAAGAGGGTGTGTATGGTATTGACATTTGGAGACGAGTCGAGGCATAGAAAGTGAGTAAACAATGAGATTTCCAAGGGAGGTAATTGTGGACACATTGAAGATTTCTTTTACAAGAGTGATACGCCTTGCCAATGAAGGTCACAACAAACATGGCTTCCCTAGCCGCTCGAGTACTCTGTCGATCAAGACTTTCTCCTATTTCAGCCCGGGCTTTCTCAACGTCCGCCCTTAGGTGTGCGTATGAGGGCCCTAATGCTAACCAGCCAACTCATACAGGACAGGTGAGGTGCTAAGAACAAATATTGAGCTTACTAGAACGTTGTCATTCATACACGTTTCTGATCACTGACAAGACAGCGACACAGATCTTTACTTCTTTATATCCAATTTCTACGTGTGTGTGTGTGTTTTTGGGGGGGGGGGGGGGGGGGGGGGGGGACGCGCGCGCGCGCGCGCGCGCACACACACACACACACACACACACACACACACACACACACACACACACACACACACACACACACACACACACACACTCACATAAGCGCGAGCACACACACATGCGCACACACACAGCCAAGCAGAGAGAGTTGTGTCACAAACAAAGTGAGTTAACATAAAATGATCTGTGATGGGTGTGTGTCTAGTAGTACTAGACTCTAGATGTAGTATGGGTAAATTTTTACTTTCACTCCCGCACACAGATGCACTGTTTCAGGGGTCAAACTGCTGTACTGTTTGCTGCAGATCACACATAAAGCCACTAAAACTGTCGCAAATCAATTATTTTCAAGACAATTTCAAATCTAACTGTAAAATATCAAATTATGGGTAAAAACAAGGGGGCATGCCCCCCTGTAACCCCCCAGATTTTCTTTTACCCCAGTGGGGCAGGCCCCCTTGGAACCCCCCGATTGGTCCAAAGCATGTCTATCTCGGTTAAAAACAATCAAATATTTCAAAAACTATTAATTTGCGACGGAAATGAAGTTGATATTCTCGTGTTCAGCGCATCAATATTTAGTAGAAAATAGACAACTGGTAGCTGAGTGTGAGACGGGAGGGAAAGTAAAAAAATACCGTAGTATGATTTAGTGAAGGTTCTCAGTGTGTGTGCGCCAGAGTATTTTTATGATCAACTCTGTTTGGTGTGTTCTGTGTACAGTCAGGCACAGATGACACAAACATGGAAAACTCGAGGGGTAATATATATGTAAAACTTCCTGTCCTGAACTCTGCCATTATTTCATTATTCCTCCACCCTTGCACCTAGATTCTATGCTATGCCGATAATCCTATAACCCCCCCCCCCCTCCTCGCCCCTAAACTTTGAAACCCTGCCCAACAGGAAAGTTTATTTCTTTTCTCTGTTGCTCTTAGTGAGTGTATATAATATAATCAGTTTTTGGGCTGTTGCAACTTTGTGGGGGTTGAGGGCAATAAAGATGAATGCACAGTCAAACCTGTGAGGCAATCTCCCGTTGTAGAGGAGTAAAGTGTTCATCTTAGGTTCTCTTATACCATGCTGCCTCTCTAGAACTAGAACCACATTGTCGGGACCAGAAAAAAATGTTGTAAATAGAGAGTTGTTGATTGAGGCAACCAAAAATATTACTAGTGATGTATTGGGACCTGGGCACCATGTCTCTGTACAGAGGGTGTCGTTATGTATCGAAGGTCGTTATAGAGAGGCTGCACTGTATATATATTACATATAAGCACCATTATAATTTAGAAAAAATGGCAAGGGAGGAGTGGGAAGTGGTGGTTTGTACAGGTGGTTGTCTTGGACAGGTACATGTCTGAACAGGTTAGTCTGTATTTGACGTATGTGATTTTTATGGACTATTTCGATTTCCATCTGCAGGTATGGGATAAAAATGATTACCGAAACATTCGGTTTGTGGGCAAAGACAAACTGGTGAGTAAAAGCTTCTTTTTATCGTGTCTCTAGAAGTTACATACATGACTGTCTTGTGCTTACTACTACTGCTGCATGCTTTGTTTAGTGTTGAGACAATGTGGTGAAATCAGGTGCTCGTCCAAATAATAGTGAAGTAGAAGAAAACGGCATTTTCCCCGCAGGTTTGGCTTTTTTAAAAAAGAATTTTTGTTTTTTTGGCTCAACACCTTTTATGTTGATTTAAAAACAAATTTCTCTCTGGATTTTATTGAAAAATGTTTATTTAGGCACCAAAAAATGTAAGTTTTCATTTCCCAAGGACTCTTTAAAAGCTAAGGAAGTTACCAAAGTTTGGCTGCCTTTTTTGGGATAAATTTACCTCCCAAAACAGGGGACCCCAACCTTCTTCAATCGAAAATATTTCAACTTCTATTCAAGACAGATGGGTGTTTTTTTCATCACCTGCAAGACAAATGAAATAAGCCTAAAAGATGATACCATTAACTCAACATGCCCAAAAATGGACGAGCGCCTGATTCTACCGCTTCATGACAGATGTATGTAAGCCTACTCCCTTTGTGTTGTTCAGATTAAAGGGTTCTCTTTTTACTACAGCTGCAAGACTTTCTTTAATTTTTTTGACTGCCGACAGACTTGTTCTGTTTATGGCCACTTGTACCAGTCCAGGCCGCCCGCTAAGAAAAATATTTTGTAAATCTACAACTTCTGAAAGTAACTTCAAGTTCATGCACATGATTTTTAAAAAATGTTTTTGTAAAAACTTTTTTCGAGGGGATGAGGGAAAAGCATATTATGTTTCAGAAGCGCATGCATGCATAGTTTTGTAATTTTAGTTTAGGTAACATTGTTTCAGTTTTATAAATACATACATAATGATAATACATTGTTACAAAGTTCTTTATTTATCTAAAGCTGATAGTCCTGAGCTTTTGATTTCATTTCTTTTGCAAATGGAATGTAAACTGTATGTCTTTTTAATTTTTATACCGTTAGTTCGGTTAATTTCACACAGGACCTTCATTGTAATGTGAGACTTGTGGGCGGTTGGTGGGTGCTCTGGTGTGGTTTGCTTCTTCTTTCCTATAAAAAGTCTATCGTCTGTGTCTCCCCTCCTTCTCTTTTGTGTTTGTTACTCTCTTGTAACACCTCTAATCTTTGGCTCTTATATGACCTTATTGTGTTGCAAGTGCCGTAAAACTCTTGCTAAAACTAAAAATATGAAACGGTTTTGTCCCCGCCCAACAGATCAACCCCGAATGGGCCATTGACCTCATCGCGGAGGACCCGGTTGTGGTGGTCAGCGGCTCTCACGTCTGGTCCGACAGCTGCGGCGCCCTGGGCCACCCCAAGGTCTACATCAACCTGGTAAGTCCACTCTGTATAAGGTTATCGTAAGTCCAGTCTGTATAAGGTTATTGTAAGTCTGTATAAGGTTATTGTAAGTCTGTATAAGGTTATTGTAAGTCTGTATAAGGTTATTGTAAGTCTGTATAAGGTTATTGTAAGTCCTGTCTGTATAAGGTTATTGTAAGTCTGTATAAGGTTACTGTAAGTCTGTATAAGGTTATTGTAAGTCTGTATAAGGTTATTGTAAGTCTGTATAAGGTTATTGTAAGTCCTGTATACATCATAATGGTATTCTTGGTGGACTATTTGAACTTAATCCCTCCCAAGGCCTTTTTCTGAAAATAATCTCCCCCCCCACCCCGAAAGGACGAAAGGAGGAGCATTTACTATTTAACTCTGTTCAAAATAAACAAATTTTTTAAAACTTGTTAACAAAAGCAATCAGACCTGATAAAAATATGGAATGTTTATGCGAGAAAAGATAGATTATTTGATTATAGTTTTAATTCAAATGACAGTCAATGTTTCGTGACCTGTTCTTCGTGTCTGGTTGGTCAATAATTGATCTCGTCCAGTAGGTGAGACCGGGCTGTCATCGACTTTGGTCAATCTGGGAGGGTTGGGTTCATGCTTTTGTCTTGTGCTGATGTTTGCTTAGATGTGTGTGGAAGCACTTTACTTTTTTTCTTCAGATTGTTTACCCTAATGGGTACACCAAATATTTGAAGTACAAGAGATTGTGAAATGAATTTGTTCTTCCTTTTAGTAGGAGACAATCACGTTTGTTTGGAGTAAAGTCATTCTGTCAAATTCTCAAAACATTTAGAATCTTCTCTTTTACTGTGGAACCCGCTGTAACCAAAATGTGCAGGACCGTTTATTTTCTTCGATTTCGCTGGGTTTTTGGTTTAGACAGAACAAAAAACAAAAGATAAAGAAAGGGGGGTTTTACTTTCTTTCAAACTAACCATGTGCGGTGTAAGTGGCCTCCACTCTACAGTGCAGCCTCTCTATAACGACCTTCGGTGTAACGACATCCTCCATTTAGCGACATGGTGCCCAGGTCCCAATTTTTTCCTGATATATTGTTAGTATTATTTTTGGTTGCTTCTTTCTAACGACAACTCTATCTAATGACATTTTTTTCTGGTATCGGCGATGTCATTATAGACAGGCTGCACTGTATTTCTTGGACTGGGATTTTGCACAAAGTTTCACTTCACTTTCCCAGGATAAACCTGAAGTTGGAACCTGTGGCTACTCGGGGCGCAAGTTCGTCCAGAAGAAGTTTTACGACGCGGCCACACACGGGCCAAGCATCACGTACGAGGAATATCTGGAGCAGATGAAGGGGGACTCTCGATGAGGGGCGCCAGGGGATCATGTATAGTCTGTTTTGTCTAGCTTGTTTTATTGGGTTTTTTGTTTTTTTCGAATGACGTAACGCACTTAAGAAAAAAGTGAGAAGTAACTGAGGCTCTGTGAAGAAAGTTTGCAGAATGAAGTACAGAAATAGGTGACTTATACAAGGATATGGCTTAATGTGTCCCTTTCTATACAGCTGCTTGAAGAGACTAAGGTTTTGGCTAGTTGTTCTCGATTCACTCAGTGAATGGAGCAACGTGTCTAGCAGTAGACGAAGGATCAGCATGAGAGGGTAGGGTGAGAGGGCAGGGTTTTTGTTGTAAGAGACAATGTCTGTCACCCTGGAGTGTTGTGTTTAATGTCTCTGGATTGAGCCATGTAAATAAAAGAAAACACATTTTAAAAAAAACAATACAAAAAATATCTTTGTTCCTTTCCTTGATGATATAATAGTATCATTTACTTGTGTTTTGTTTTTTTCTTAATATGGTCAGTATCCTGGATGGTTGGCGGGTGCTCTGGTGTGATTTGCTTCTCCTTTCCTATCAAACATCTATTACCCTGATCTCTCCTCCTCCTTTTTTATATTTGTTACTCTCTTGTAACACTTCTAACCTTGGGCACTTATATGTGATGTGATAGTGTTGCAAGTGCCGTGAAACTCTCACTAAAACTAAAACTGTTCTGTATCATTCCACAAATGGACAATTCAGGTTGTGAAATTTGGATATTAATTAATTAAAGAAAAATTAACCCTCAAACCAGACCCATGACTTGGGTACTTTAAATTTTTCAGTTAAAAAAAAAAAAATAGGAAGGAAATTTATTTATTTTTCTGGTAAGTGTTTTACGGCGCTTGCAACTGCATAAGGTCTTATGAGCACGCTGGACACATTGAACATTTTCAGTTGGTAGGAAATTTTGAATTTTGCCTGGGTGGCAGCCAAAGCCTACTCTTATAGATTTTTAGACCACCAAGGGATCTTAAACTTGCACAACTTGCACACAAGACCCCGAGATTTTTCGCCCTTGTCTGAGAATGCTAGGTGTAGATCTTTCCTACCAGAAGATCAGGGGTGTGGCAGAAAGACAGCAGTAAGGAGGAGCCAAGGAGTAACAGTAGAAAGGCTGCAGACAGAGTCAGGAGCCCAGAGGAGGGTGCAAAGGAAGTGAGGGGGTGGGGCAGAAAGAGGACACGAAAGCAGACAACAGAACATTGCTAGAAAGCAGGAAAGGATGTGAAAGGAGACAATTTTAGAGAAGAAAATTTTTCAGTCACTACCCGAATTCGAACCCGGGACCTTTGAATGAGAGGCCAACACCTTAACCTCTAGGCCACGAGAGACCCCAGGACGGTAATGGAAAAAAAAGAAACTTATGGAGCACCCCCCTTGGTGTCTGTTCAAATAACTGCTCTGTCTGGAATCCTCAAACTGATGTGGGTAATGATGGAAGGAAGCTAACGATATACAGTGCCGCCTCTCTATAATGACCTTCGATATAACAACATCCTCTCTTTGGTATAACGACATGGTGCCCAGGTCCTGATGTTTTCCCTTAGATATATCACAAGTAATAGTTTTAGTTGCCTCTCTAGAACAACTCTCTAGAACAACTCTCTAGAACAACTCTCTAGAACAACTCTCTAGAACAACTCTCTATAACGACATTTTTTTCTGATCCCGACAATGTCGTTATAGTTACAGAGAGGCTGCACTGTATACAACTATCTGCTGAGGGGGGGGGGGGGGGGGGAGGTACCAAACTTTTCCAGTGTTTTTTTCTCTAGGTGTTTTTACACCACCATTGGCACAATTTGGATCCTGTTCACGTAGTGCTATGGGCTGCCCACCCTGCCTGTCGTCAGGGCCAGACCGAGCTAACTACGAGGGATACAACATTCTGGCAGAAACACTGAGATACCCAATAGACATTTTCTCCCCACTTGGGGATCAGACTGGGCTCTCCTGCTTGCCCTCCACCAAAAGCTGGCATTTCCCTACCTATAGGAGAAGTTTGGTTTCATTAGTGTGGTTTGTTTTGTGATAGAGAAAACTCTCCTTGTCTTTTGAAAGAACTGAACAAGGGGCAAAAACTTCACCATTGATTTTCTCGAAACAGTGTTTTTTGGGGATAGCCCCCTTGTGCTTAAAAGCGACCATATATAAATGTATCAGGTCGTGCCCATAGTTAGTGGCGCAGTGATCAGTGATAAAAGCAAGATCAACATGGCCGTCATGTTTCCACAGACAAGATCACCAAAGTTGCTCGGTATCACCTTATTACTCAAGTGGAATTTTAAAGGTGAGAAAAGACGAATAATTTCGTCGCAACTCTTCGCCAAATCTACTACGTGATAACCGTGGAGACCACAAGCCTTGCTGCCGTGCTACAGTGCGCCGAGAACCAGGGGTTTTCTTTCAGGGGAGAGAACCACACAGAATGAGCCACTACAAGATATTTTATTGATTACATCCCTTGAGAAAAGTTCTATAACTCATGCAAGGGGGGGGGGGTTTAAACTTCTTTTTCGGAGTTTGCGTTGGGGTTTTAGTTTTAATTCTAAAGTTTGTCAAACCGCAACACACTGTTCACCATGGGAGGTTTGTGGCTGTACTTCATTCCTGACAAGTCAAGAGTAGATCGATGTACTGGACACAACCTGTCCCAGTGATACGTAGAAGAAAAACATGCTAACTAATGCCACTGCTGCCAGGCATGCTTGGAATATTATTCCATTATAGCATAGATAGAACCGTAGTCGAGCTAACATGGGAGGCGAGGGAATCATTGTATACATCTGTAACTATT